AGAGATCTGCCTGCCTCAGCCTTCCAAGTGCTGTGACTAAAGGCATGTGGCCTGGCTTACATCTCATAGTTTAACAAAAGAAATGTGTCTGGCATTGTTCCTAGATGCTAGTCCCTACTTCCCTTAAAAAACAATAGTCTACAGGCCAGAGAGATAAATCAAAGAGTAAAGGAGTTTGCCATCAAGTCTGATGACCTGAGTTTGATCACTTGTTCCCAAATGGTGGAGAGAATGGACTCTCATAAATTGCCCTCTGGCCTCCAAATATGCACTCTGGCACATCTAAATTTTTTTTAATTAATTCATTTTAAAATGGATTGATTTTTGGCATTAGAGATTAAACTCATGCCTCTATTACCCAGCCACACCCCTGTGGGAATGACTTTTTATAAATGGACATAATCTGGACTGACTTTCCCCAGCAAAACCATGTGCTCTTGTGTCCTGTGACCTGGGCACCCGATCTTGTTTCCTTGACAACCTCAGTTTGGTCTTCCACCCAAAAAGATGAATGTGGTTATACTTGAGAGTTAACATATTAAAGTGTTAAAAGGTAACACACTTTTTCTCCCTTGCACACAGTGAACTTTTGGGAGGAACACATGACCTTGGGTGAACGAGATATTCTAGAACTAGGTCTGAAAAGGCTGGATGGTCTGTTAAGATTAGGGAGCCAAACTTATAATTCCCCAGTTGAAGCTGGAGAAACCATTTGAATAAAAATCATTTCAGGGGCTGGGCTTGAGGGCACAGTTCCAGGGATGGAGTTCCAGCAAGACAGTTCCATCAGCACAGTTCTGGGAGACAGAGGGTCCAAGAGATATCTAGGGGAACAAGTGTCCTTCAAGTTTAGGCCCACTCTTTGTTTGTTTTTTTTTTTTTTTTTTTTTTTGGCCCCCCTTTTTTTTTTTTTTTTTTTTTTTTTTTTTTTTGGCCCACTCTTAAAAATTGAATATAAGTGTTAGGCTTTTTGTTGTTGTTGTTCAGGTAATTATAATGCTCGCATAGTAATGCTGCACACCCCAGCTCAACCTCACACACTTAAAAAATATTTTTAGGCTGGATGTGGTGGAACTCACATAGTGAGTTCCAGGCCAGCTGGGGTTACAGGGAGACCCTGTCTCAAAAAGACCAAAAAAAATTTTTTTTTTAAATTATGTATGTATATGTGTGGTGTATGTGCATATGAGTGCAGTGCCCTCAGAGACCAGAAGAGGGCGTTGGATCCCTTAGAGTTGGGGTTACAGGTGACTGTGTACCACCTGGCATGGGTGCTGGGAATTGAACTTGGGTTCTCTGCAAGAGCACTAAGCACTCTTAACTACTGAGCCATCTCTCCAGCCCCACCTATGCACATTTTTATGCAGTCAAATGCTTACATTCTCACTACTGTTCCTTCTGGCTCAAGTAATTGTTGACAGTGTTGGTAAGAAAAATTGGTTCTGTTTCTTTCTGATATAAATTGTTAAATTCCTCATGTAAGCATTTGAAATATACCAAGAAAAAAATACCAAAGTATAGGTTTATCCACACAGAGTTTTAAAAAAATTTGTGAAAGGCCACTCTTTGAGAAGTGTGTTCTACAGTTTCTGGCTCTACTGTGTGTCTCATCGGCCTATCAATGATCCATTCATTCACTCAGTTTAGTCATAACACACCTTTACAGGTCTCCTTTTTATGTCTCAGGCACCATACTAAATTCTGAATTCCCTGAAATCCACAATATTCTCAGTTGTACTTCATGGCTTTCAATTCTGTAAAATGCTCAATCCAGCAGCCTATTTCTTTTCTTTTTGAGGCAAGATCTCCCAGTTGCCCCTCCTGGCCTTGAACTCACTTTGGAGACCAGGTTGGCTTCCATCTCACAGAGATCCACCTGTTTCTGCTTCCTGAGTGCTGGGATTAAAGGTGTATGCCACTATACATGGCTAGCAGCCTAATTTTTAATCAGTTAATGTCCTTTTTTGTTTAGATTCAAATTTAACAATAGGATTTATTGCTCATGGATCAACATAAACATGGATGTACACAAAACTTCAAACATAGCTTTCTGAATAAACTTTCCATTGTTTTTTCTAATTTTCCAGAGTTGCTCATTTTGGAACTGGAGAGATGACTCAGCATTTAAGAACATTTGCTGCTCTTGCAGAGGTTCCAGGTTCAGTTCCCCAGCACCCACATAGCTCAAAACTGTCTGTGAGCTCCAGTTCCAAGGGTTCTGATGCCCTCTTCTGGCCTCCAAGTGCACTGTATGCAGGTGATGCACATACATACATACTGGCAAAGACTCATACAAATCAAATCAAATAATTCTTAAAAAAAAAAAAAGTTGGCAATCTAGTGTATGGTGGCACAAGCCTTTAGTTCCAGCTCTAGGGAGGCAGAGGCAGGTGGATCTCTGTGAGTTTAAGGCCAGCTTGGTTTACATAGTGAGTTCCAGGCCAGCTGGGGCTACAGGGAGACCCTGTCTCAAAAAGACCAAAAAAAAAAAAAAAAGAGTTGCCAATCTCAAAAGAGCAGGTGCTGTGGCTCACACCGGTAATCCCAACACTCTGGAGTGGGAAGCAGGAGGATTGCTGAAAATTCCTGACCAGTCTAGGCTATAGGGTTTTATCGGTTGAGTATGGAGAGCCCCATAATATTAACTGGTCAAAAAATAAAACCTCTAGTCGTCTGTTGGAAGACCCACCTTTCCAGTCTCACTGGTCTATCATCCAGGCACAGGACCACCCCTAGGAAGGCAGGTTCACCTTAAGTTATACTAAGAGATTGGTGAAATACATAATGCATTAGTGAGTTGGTAAACTTTTCTTGCTCAGAATCCCTGCCTCCTAGTGCAGTTCTTGTGGATCTGGGTTGCAGGCTGGTGGCTGCCCACTTTTCTGAATTCTTCAGGAAAAGGTAACCTCTCTTCTTTTCTTCTTCATATCCCTTTTTAAAATAAGCACGCTTTCCCTAATGCTTATGCTGCCCCAACATTTTGGGCTTCTTTATTTTTCTCTATAGCTTTCTTCTCCCCACCATGTGGCTGCTAGTCTGCCACCTGTCTGACTTCCATGCAGGTTCTAAACCAGCACAGCTTCATGGCTTTTTTCCTTTTCTCCCCCCAGTCTCCTCCTCAAGGCAGCTGGCAAGATTCATAGCTTGCCTGCCCTGAATATTTTTCCTTAAATTCTAGTAGAATTGTCCTTAAAGCTTCTGTTTGAATCCATTCTTAAATTCTTTTATGAATGGGACTAAGGACTCTCCACCGGACACTGTTTCTCCCCTGTACGAAGACTTTGTCTCAAAAACTGAAAGACAGGGATGGAGAAATGACTCAGTGGTTAAGAGCACTAGCTGCTCTCACAGAGGACCCAGCTTCAGTTCCCAACACCCTCATGGCAGCTAACAACCGTCCATAACTCTAGTTCCACAGGATCCAAAACCCTCTTCTGGCCTCCTCCAGCACTGCACAACTTGGGTGCATTTACATACATGCAGGCAAAACATTCATACACAAAATCTTTTTAAAAATTGAAAGAATATGGGGCTGGAGAAATGGGTCAGAGGTTAAGAACACTGAATGTTCTTGCAGAAGACCTGGGTTTGAATCCTAGAACCCACATGGCAGCTAACAACTCTTCATAACTCCAGTCCTCGGGGATCCAACAGCCTCTTCTGACCTCCACAAGCATTGCACAACACGGGTGCACTTACCTACACACAGGCAATACATGCACACACATAAAAATAATAAATAAAAAAAATTTTTAAATTGAAAGAATGAACATGGGGACCTCCATCTTTTGCATTTTTAGGAAAACCCACTTACCAAGCAAATATATCAATAAGAATAAAACCAAGAGGTACGGTGCTTGCTTCACATGTATTGATCCCGGCACCTAAAAAGAAAAGAAAGGAAGAAAGAAGGAAGGGAAGAAAGGAGGGAGGGAGACCATAATTTCCAAGATGTCACGCACAGGGCTATCTTTAATGCGAAACACAGTATCTAGCAACATACTTGATATAAAGTGTGTTAAATGAATGAAAAAAAGTATGTGATGCTTAACTTTTCTAATGAAGAGACAGAACATAGTTCTATGAGTGTGAGATATTTTTATGTGTAATTGTGAAGGAAGACCAGTCTGGGTCATTTTAACATCCCCCGAGTGTCTGAACATGTTGAAAGGGGGGAAAAAATATCCAGGAAGAAACCTTTTTTCCGAAACAGGTCAGAAGAGGACCTACACCTACTTTGCTACTAACAAAGTTTTGCAGGCAATTCTGCCTGTCCTCTTTAAGAGCTTAAGAGGAATCAGTTCTAATTAGAAAAAAGAAACAAAAAACACTTTTTCAGGAGCAGGCGTTTCCCACTCCAAGCAAAGCGAAGCCAAGTTAACCGAACCGCAAAGACTTGGCTTACTTCAAGCCCAAGCTAATTTATTATTATTGGCCCAAATTTACCCACTCTCCTGCGGCGCAGGCCAATATTCACAATCGCACTGACACCTCCTGCAGGACAAACCAATAGCTAGTGGGGGCACAGAGCTTCTTGGCCATAACCCAGGGAGAACTGCACTCGTGCAGTGCAATCATCCAAACTGCTCTAACAGATGCCGTCTTTAAAATCTGCATTTCGTTAAGAAATGCTTCCAATTTTCCACCTTACAAGCTGGGGAAACAGCTCTCCAGAATCCTTCAGGGAGTGAATCTTATCCTTTGCTACAGACACGTTTAGCCTCCGTCAGGCCACAGCCCAAAGCTAGGCCACACAAGGAACTGTCCATGTGCTCGCCTTTAAAGTAACCGCGCAGCGGGGGCTGCCCCGGAGTTCAACTTCCGGCCACACGCGGAGAGGATGTTTTGCTACAGGAGCTGCTCTGCGGGAGCGCGCCACTGGCCACGCCCCGAGGCACGCCCCCGCCTTCGGAGCGCGAGCCCGGGCGTGCGCGCGCATCAGGGGCGTGGCCTCGGCGGGACGGAGCGCGACCTGCGGATCCCCCGAGCTCACTCGGCTTAGTCAAGCGAAGGCACGACTCGAGCGGGTGGGTGCGAGCACGCGCGCGCGCCCCCGGTGCCCTCCCCGGTGACGTGCCTGGCCGAGGCCGCGCTTGGGCTCTGTAGCTGCCACTGAGCGCCTGTCATGGCGTCCGAGGCGCTGGCTGAGTCGAGCCGGCCGCGGTGTCTATAGGACGAGCGGCGGGCGGCCGGGGATGGAGAGCGGCCCTGACAGCCTGCAGCCGCTTGAACACGGGGTGGCGGCGGGGCGACGTTCTCCGCCGGAAGGGCGACGGCGGAGCGGGCTCGAGACTAGGGATGGCCCGGGAGGACGCGCTGTGGAGAGCGGCGGGCAGGGGGCGGCGGCCGCGGCGAGCAGCCTCGGGGACCCGGCGTCACCCGCCGCCCCTGCACCGCTCACGGGCGCCGCGGGTTCGGACTTGAAGGACAGCGCCTGGAAGGGCCCCGCCGCCGAGGCACCTCCGAGAGGGCAGCACAAGGTGACCGTCTCCCCGGTGCCGGCCGAGGCCGCGGCAGGCCGAGGGTCTGGGCTGGCGGGAGACGTGGGCACCTGCGGGGTGGAGCGCGCGGCCGGCTCGGACGAAGCCACCGGCGCCGGCGGCCTGAGCAGCAGCGGCAGCGAGCCCAGCCCTCCCGGGGACTCGCCCAGCCTGGACTCCCTGGAGTCCTTCTCCAACCTGCATTCTTTCCCCAGTAGCTCTGAGTTCAATAGTGAGGAGGGCGCGGAGAGCAGGGTCCCGGAGGAGGAGGACGCGGGTGCAGCTGGGCCGCCCCGGGCCGCCCCTCTGTGCGGAGAGGAGGAGGACCCCACTCAGGTGCTGGCGGCCTCCAGGGACCGCTTCCCAGGACAGTCTGTGTATCACATCAAATGGATCCAGTGGAAGGAGGAGAACACGCCCATCATCACCCAGAATGAGAATGGACCCTGCCCTTTGCTGGCCATCCTCAATGTTTTGCTTCTGGCCTGGAAGGTACATTGTGCAGCTTTCTACTTCCTACAGTGGGGAGGGGCAAGACCGGGTGAGGAAACTGCTGCTTGGCAGCGGATGGCTTCCTCTTTCCCTCTTTCCTTCATTCATCAGCCTCCTTTGAGACAGGGGCTCTCGATGCAGCTTAGGCTGTCCTTGAACTCATGATCTTCCTGCTTCAGCCTCCTGAATGCTAGGATTACAGGCTTGCCCCACAATGCCTGACAGCCCCCTGGTACATGAAATTAATTCCAGGACTTCCTTGTTGAAAAACCACACACACACACACACACACACACACACACACACACACGTTCAGGAAAAAATACGTATATATTCAGGAGAAATTGCCCCAACCTCAGGCCTCTTTTGTGTTGAGTTAAACATTCAGTCGAAGGTTGTGACTGATAAACAAGAACTGAAGCTTCCTACACCTTGTGATTATTTTAAGCTACATTTCCAACTATGTTATTCCTTCTTACTGACATATCACATGTGTAAAACAGTCGGAATTGGGAAAAAAAAAGTGATCTTCAGAAGTTACTATCAACCCATGATATCCTGGAGTAAGTCTGGATGGTAATAGTGTATTTTCTAAAGAATATTTTGCTCCATTTGGGTGTGGATACATAAGGGAGTGGTGATAGGGAAGATAGGACCCTTTTAGACAAATTCCATTTAAGGAAAAGCATTGGTGTGAGACCCACCTAACATAATTTCTTTTAGTTTTCAAAGATTATCTTTTCATCTTAGGTATGATTTTTTTTTTAACTTGCCTTGTTTCTTTGACTCTACTTAAAAGGTTTGTCATTTTTACCAGGATCTGTATATGTGTTAAGGAAGCCGAACTATTAACAACTAAAAGAAGAAATGATATATCTAAGGTAATGGTGTACAGAGAAGGGCAAATGTATTGAGGACTCAGTATGAGTTACCATAAATAAAGTGTGGTATTTAAGCTTGCAGGTTCGGGGTGCTGAGAGGATGCATCACGCAGCACGTTTTTTCAAATTGATAATTGTATCTATAGTTAAAATGTTTCCTAGAAAAAATAGTTTGGATTATTCTAACCATTTGGGAAGAAAATCAGGTAAAGAGAATAGAATGTATTACATGTCTTGTCTTCCCATTGCTAGCAGTAGAAATAAGACAAACATTGCCAATATCTGTTGCATGATGATACCCATGTTTTATGTAAAGGCAGTGCTTGCTCTTGAAGAGCTGTCAAGATACATGGGGTTGCTGCATGGGTACACTTCAAATGACTGAAGAACAATAAATGTTAAGTTATATCAAACAAATGGAAATGTATTATATATCCCCAAAGGGGAAATTGTCCTCTGGTCTGGCACAGTCCCAGAAAGCTACATGGAATTCATGGGTCTAGAACCACACTTTTTTTTTTTTTTTTTTTTTTTTTTGAAAAAAAAAAAAAAAAAAAAAAAAAAAGAGGACGATAAATCTTTCACTGTGATATATCAAAATAA